TGCTGCATAAACATGTACGGAATGGCTATAAAAAACGTTTGATCCTGATACCTACATTCCATTGTCTCGTTCCAAGTATTCTCTTGTAAAAAAAAAAAAAAGAAAAAAGTTTAATATGTACAAATCTTACTAGAAAATGACAAAACTAAATTTTCCTCCTGTCAATTAATCAAATTCGCAGTATATCAATAATGCAACCGCTGGAATAGATAGATAGATAGATAGAATAGATAGATAGATAGATAGATAGATAGATAGATAGATAGTGTTACGCTCCGGGGTTTCGTTGGGACTACGATAGCCGGGACGCAACGAGGAAATAAACAAAAGTAAAGAAGAGAAAGAAGAGATCCCAAGGTTCAATGCAAAAACAAAGAAAAGAACAGTGGGAGGGGAATTCTCCAAATCTAGACACCGGTAAACGCAGTAAGAAATAAACAATGTGCAGACACAGAACGATAGGAGACAATACGAGAATTTCTAATACAAACAGTTTATTTATAAATGTACAAGGTGTGAAAGTATGACAAGAAATATACGAAAATTAATAACACTAGGGATGGGGAGATAAGTAAGCAATTAGACAAGTACTACCGCGACAAATATCATAGGAATATAGAGCAAGCAGACAATAAGATATATCAAAACATGCAATACTTACAGAAGATGGAGATCGACGTCGATTAGGTTTTTAGCAATGACAGAGTTTAACAAAAAGGATGTTCATACACTATTTTTTTCTTTTGAACATAAAAGGGAGGGATTATCAATGTTCTAGTATATACATGTCAATCACAAAAGCGTAGCCGACTTGGGCGATGATGTTCTTAATTCTTCGGGCAACAAACAGCGAAATCTGATTTTGGCGACATCTGTTTCCACGGGCAGCAAACAGCGAAATCTAGGTATTTGGTGACGTCCACTTCTACGGGCAGCAAACAGCTAAGACTGGTACATGATGACGTCGGCTTCTTCCGAGGGCAAGCAACTGAGTGTAGAATCGTTACCCCGACACGCGCGAAACAAAACCGTCACGTGTCGGCCTATGAACAATGGGTAGGCGTCATTCATATAATACTGACGGGGTCACTTGCACCTATTCGCCACACAGAGTTCGTCTGGCCTACGATCAAAGACCAGACAGGAAATGAGTGGTTCTCTTCTGAGAACTGGCTACGAATTAAATAGTAATAAAAAAATATATATCTTACAATATGCGTTTTCACGGAAAAAAAAAATAATATTCCTGTTTCGTCGCAAACACAATTGTACTTAAAACATGTTTGTAAAATTTGGGGTGAGGGTACAAATACGGGCTAACGTAACAATAGATAGATGTGATTCTTCCTCAAATTTTATGGAATTACATTATAGATGACCCTACTAACTTTCTTTCACCAATACCTTCGAAACAATATCCTTGACAGCTGTTTGTACATGGGTTCACAGCAAGTAACCGTAAAAGCCGATACTACGTTCTTTTTGTGTACTCTCTCATTGAAATAAATTAATCAAATTACAGTCAAGAAATCAGCTTATACACATTTCCGTATTTGGAAAATATTTTAAAGCACAATGATATAATACAAGAATCAACGCATTCGTATTAATTAGGCTATTGTTTGATGTCATTTTGATTTCAATTATATTGTCTAGTACCATTGTTTACCTTGCTTTAAATCGTCTTATTTCTCTTGCGTTATTATTATTATTATTTTCTTTGATTTCTGGCGTTTACACATTTCTTTCCGTGTCCCGCCCAGGGACCTAAGGTTAGAAATGGCGTCATGACACTTTCCACTGACAAAAAAAAAAAAAAGAAAAAAAAAAAGTTAAATTACATAGATAAAGCCCTTCGTAAGGTGTGGTCTGTACTTGTCAGAAAAATTTTTGTATCTCCTTGAGGCATGGACTTCCAGGAATCCCTTCAATTAGTCTACTGCAATCTTTTCCAACCAGTCCTTCGGCTCCAACTACAACAGGGATTGTTGATGTTCCCATATGCCACAATTTCGAGATTTCTATTTCAAGGTCCTTGTACTTTGACAACTTTTTGAATATCTTCAAAGATATATTGCAGTCAGCAGGGACTGCCATATCAATAAGGATGCACCGTTTTTTTTGTGGTCTTTAATAACAATATCTGGACGGTTGGCCTTGATTGTTCTGTCAGTGTGTATTGTGTAATCCCATAGAATTGTAACAGGTCCTAACTCCGTTACCGGGTCTGGGTGGTGTTCATACCAGTTTCTTTCAGTTTCCTTCCCGTAGAAGTTGCAGATTTTCCAGTGCAGATATTGGCCCACTATTATTATTATTATTATTATTATTAATCGTAATGATTGACGTATTTTTCCAATATTGTATAATACTTAGAGAAGTGTTCGACTTAAGAAAATACAGACAATGTTTAAAAATGTCAAACAATATTTCGGCAGTATGTTTATCTTTGTCAGGCTATCTTGAAAAATTACATACACCTATAAAAAGCTATTTTTTTAAAAAAATACAGGTCTTAAGGATTTAATAGTCACAGTTACGATGGCCAAAAAAGAAAAATGTGATATCAAAAGGACTTGTGAAGCATTTTCTCACAAACGACTGTAATTTCGACAAATGTTTTAAGGTACACTTTTTGAAGAAATATCCAGAATCCACCGACACGCCAACACTTAAGATGCATGAGGATATTTACATATGCAAACTAAAAACATTCCATCCTAGGAGAATTAACAAAATGACTGCAAAGTTCCATAAGATTTATATTAAACTATTTGATTAATGACTTTTCCACGCTAATCAACTAACGAAAAATGTCAAGCTGATTACACCCCCCATCCTGTTACTCACGTTTAGTTGCATTCCATTCACACTGGCTGCGTTTCACTGGATTTGCCGCGTTGATTACCAGTACAGTCGTTTATCTCAAGAGAAGCGACGTTTTTACAAAAAATTGTATTTTCTAAATATTTTTTATACTTGCTTTAAACATATCTTGAAAAGAGACATACTGTCAAAATATTGTTAAACATTGTTAAACATTGTGTCTTTTGTTTTCTGAAATCGACTTCTCTAAATGATGTATTATTATTATTATTATTATTATTATACTTTTTTACGTGTTTCAGTTTCACATACGGTGGGTCTATTGGATTTTCTCTCCAAATCGGAGTATTTTGTATTCAAGGCGAGGCATGGTCATTTTTAAAGTTCAAATTAACCGCAGGCGTCGCCACTGACGGCCGGAATCTGTCCATGAGATATAGTTCTGCCAAAAAGCTAGACGTCATCATTCAATATAATGATGTGTGTCTGTGTGTGTGTGTACTACTGTATTTGCGTGTACTTTAGCATCTGTGTGTAAGTCTGCAGTGTGAGTGTGCTGAGCGTGTGTGCATGTGTGTGTTGAGAGAAAGAAAACAAACAAAACAATTGCTAGCGTCAATATGCCAAAAAGTTTTCGCCCGCTTTATGGTAGACATTATTTTTATGTTTTGTTAATATATTTTCCGTTCATTAATCTTTTTCTTTTCTTCATTCTACCTTTTGCCTTTATTCCGTGTACTTTCTAAGCTAAAATATATTTTAATTTTTTTTTATTCCGTTTTTTTTTTTCGTTTTTTTTCAAAAGGTTTATCGCATAAACAAACATTTTCGTCTTTTTCTTTTTTTTTCTCTCTCTCTCACTCTCTCTAAGTTCTTTCACTTACTTTTTCTCTTCTTTGTTCTTTTTCATTTTTCTTTTCTTTTTCCCCTTTTCTTTGATGAGATGATCTCTTTTTGGTTGTATGTCGTTTCTGTTTACTAATAATGGTAATATTAGCAGTTTCCTTATGAGGAAACATTCATTGTCCGGTATAAAAATAATAACGTGTATAAGGAGAAAATGCAAGACTGCAATTCTACAGTAAAAAGTAACATTAAAACCTTTTATCTGGGTTCGAACAGAGATTATGTAAAATTGCCAATAATTCGAAATGAGCTGTTTTATTCTGTTTTATTTTAACAAATTATTTCTCCTTTATTTCTTGTATTATTTTGCATCCATGTTAAATATTTATGTAAAAACGTAAATATTTGACTTTTTTATTTCATACTATTGTTCTATAGTCTGTTGTAATCAATCGTTACCGTTATGAATAAGGAAGAGTGGTCTCCCCTTGTTTTGTTACTCTCCTATTTGAGAGAGTTTATTGGAACTATAGGAGGATGCTATACGCTATACGCGAACCTTGTTTTCTCAGTTGAATAAAGCTTTCTTAAAGCCTACACCTATGCACTTTTGCCATTACAGTTACTTCTCTGGTTTTCATTCAACTGTTCTCCTTTTTTTAAAAATTGAGTTCGCCTAAGCAAGGCAGTAAAGCCACTAAGAGAAAAGGGGTTACTGGGTGTGGATGAATTAAAAATTAGAAAAATTACTAAGAAGTTTGGACAAAAGAAGAGTAATCATAAAGACGTTAGATAGCGATTGACATTGCTTTTAAATTTTTGAACATTGAAGTTGGCTGGAAAGCATGGAACCGGAAGTGAGTTCTACAAACGGGAAGTGCGTAAAAAGAAACAGCATAAAACGTACGGTTACATCTGACTCAGCTGTAAATTGATGAGTCCTTTTTGTCAGTCTAATACAGAGCTTAAATTCATAAAGTCTTGCAACCATAGCGAAAAGCTAACCCGAACAATTACCATGAAAGTATTTATAGAAAATGCACAGAGAGTTAACTTTACAGCGGTAGGAAAATGATTGAGACCGAGCCGCCAGATCAAGAGCAATAATATTGCAGATTTTTCTTTGGATTTTATCAAAGATCTTTAGATCTCAAGAGCACCAGACAATATATGGAATTAATACTGGAAACACGGAAGAATGGTAAACTTATGGAAGACGCTTAGTTTTGGAAGCATTAATATTTAACAAGCTATCTTTTGTCCCAGATATTTAAAAAAAAACAAAAAAACAGACTGAATTGCTTTCTTTCTTTCTTTCATTCACTTTGATGCCCATTAGAATCTTTTTCTTCTTTCTATCTTTCTTTCTTTCTTTCTTTCTTTCATTCACTTTACTTTATTCCTTGCTTTCTTTCTTTCATTCACTTTCATACCGATTAGAATCTATTTCTTTCTTTCTTTCTTTTTTCTTTATTGCTTTCTTTCTTTCATTCACTTTGATACCCATTAGAATTTTTTTCTTTCTTTCTTTCTTTCTTTCTTTCTTTCTTTCTTTCTTTCTTTCTTTATTGCTTTCTTTCATTCACTTTTATACCCATGAGAATCTTTTTCTTTCTTTCTTTCTTTATTTCTTTCTTTCTTTCTTAATTTCTTTCTTTCTTTCTTTCTTTCTTTCTTTATTCTTTGCTTTCTTTCTTTCATTCACTTTGATACCCATTAGAATCTTTTTCTTTCTTTCTTTATAGTTTTCTTTTTTCTTTCATTCACTTTGATACCCATTAGAATCTTTTTTCTTTCTTTCTTTCTTTCTTTCTTTTTTTTTTGCTTTCTTTCTTTCTTTCATTCACTTTGATGCCCATGAGAATCTTTTTCTTCTTTCTATCTTTCTTTCTTTCTTTCTTTCTTTCTTTCACTTTACTTTATTCCTTGCTTTCTTTCTTTCATTCACTTTGATACCGATTAGAAAGTATTTCTTTCTTTCTTTCTTTCATTCACTTTACTTTATTCCTTGCTTTCTTTCTTTCATTCAGTTTGATACCCATTAGAATTTTTTCTTTCTTTCTTTCTTTGTTACTGTCTTTCTTTCTTTCTTTTTACTTTATTGCTTTCTTTCATTCACTTTTATACCCATGAGAATCTTTTTCTTTCTTTCTTTCTTTCTTTCTTTCTTTCTTTCTTTCTTTCATTCACTTTGATACCCATTAGAATCTTTTTCTTTCTTTCTTTATAGTTTTCTTTTTTCTTTCATTCACTTTGATACCCATTAGAATCTTTTTCTTTCTTTCTTTCTTTCTTTCTTTCTTTCTTTCTTTCTTTCTTTCTTTCTTTCTTTCTTTCTATCTTTATTGCTTTCTTTCTTTCTTTCATTCATTCACTTTGATGCCCATTAGAATCTTTTTCTTCTTTCTATCTTTCTTTCTTTCTTTCTTTCTTTCATTCACTTTACTTTATTCCTTGCGTTCTTTCTTTCATTCACTTTGATACCGATTAGAATCTATTTCTTTCTTTCTTTCTTTCTTTCATTCACTTTACTTTATTCCTTGCTTTCTTTCTTTCATTCAGTTTGATACCCATTAGAATTTTTTCTTTCTTTCTTTCTTTCTTACTGTCTTTCTTTCTTTCTTTTTACTTTATTGCTTTCTTTCATTCACTTTTATACCCATGAGAATCTTTTTCTTTCTTTCTTTCTTTCTTTCTTTCTTTCATTCACTTTGATACCCATTAGAATCTTTTTCTTTCTTTCTTTATAGTTTTCTTTTTTCTTTCATTCACTTTGATACCCATTAGAATCTTTTTCTTTCTTTATTTCTTTCTTTCTTTCTTTCTTTCTTTCTTTCTTTCTATCTTTATTGCTTTCTTTCTTTCTTTCTTTCATTCACTTTGATGCCCATTAGAATCTTTTTCTTCTTTCTATCTTTCTTTCTTTCTTTCTTTCTTTCATTCACTTTACTTTATTCCTTGCGTTCTTTCTTTCATTCACTTTGATACCGATTAGAATCTATTTCTTTCTTTCTTTCTTTCATTCACTTTACTTTATTCCTTGCTTTCTTTCTTTCATTCAGTTTGATACCCATTAGAATTTTTTCTTTCTTTCTTTCTTTCTTTCTTTCTTTTTACTTTATTGCTTTCTTTCATTCACTTTTATACCCATGAGAATCTTTTTCTTTCTTTCTTTCTTTCTTTATTCTTTGCTTTCTTTCTTTATTCTTTGCTTTCTTTCTTTCATTCACTTTGATACCCATTAGAATCTTTTTCTTTCTTTCTTTATAGTTTTCTTTTTTCTTTCATTCACTTTGATACCCATTACAATCTTTCTTTCTTTCTTTCGTTCTTTCTTTCTTTCTTTCTTTCTTTATTGCTTTTTTTCTTTCATTCACTTTGATACCCATTAGAATCTTTCTTTCTTTTATCTTACTCTTTATCTTTCTTTCTTTGTCAAATGTTATAATTTTTTTAGTTTTTCTGTCTTTTACTTTCTTACTTTCTTTCGCTTTGGCAACTACTATAATCATTTCTTTCACTATTTTTTCATTGTATTTTACTTTCTTTTATCTAATTTCCTTCTTCCTGTTTTCATTTATTTTAAATCTTTTTGTCTTATTTTCTTTCTTTTTATCATTATTTATTCCCGTCTTTCATTCCTTCTGTATCTTTCTTTAATTTTCCTTCCATACTTCTTTAATTTTTTCTTTCTTTCTTATTTTGTCTCTTTTACATATGGCTTTCTTTCTTAATATTTCCTTCTTTCATTTCTTCTTGCTTTCTACCTCTTTCTTTCCTTCTTGCTCGCTTGCTTACTTTCCCCTTCTCTCTTTCATTTTCTTTCTTTCTTTTCTCTTTCTTTTTTATTTCCTTCTTCCTTTCATCCATTTTTTTGCTTTCTTGCTTGTATGTTCTTCCTTTTATGTCCTTTACTTTCTTTTTCGCTTATATCTACTTTCATAGTTTTGCATTATTTTTTTTTCTTTTTCGCCTCTTTCGATCTTACTTTTCCTTTAAATTTTCTCTTATAATATCTTTCTTTAGTTAGTTCATTCTTACTTGCATTATGGATTTCTATTTTTCTGTCTTTCCCTCTTTTTCTTTCTTTTTCTTTATTCATTTCCTTCTGTCTTTTCCCATTCTTATTATTTCCTTCTTTTTAAATTTTTCATTCTTTCTTTCTTTCTTTCTTTCTTACTTTCTTTCTTTCTTTAATATTACCTAGATATTTCTTTATTAATCTACTTCGTTGTATCACTGCTTTCTTTCAATCTTTCTTTCTTTCTTTCTTTCTTTCTTTCTTTCTTTCTTTCTTTCTTTCTTTCTTTCTTTCTTTAATATCACATAGATATTTCTTTACTAATCTACTCCGCTGTATTCCTGCTTTCTTTCTTTCTTTCTTTCTTTCTTTCTTTCTTTCTTTCTTTAATATCACATAGATATTCCTTTATTAATCTACTCTTTTGTATCCCTGCTTTCTTTCAATCTTTCTTTCTTTCTTTCTTTCTTTCTTTCTTTCTTTCTTTCTTTCTTTCTTTCTTTAATACCATATAGATATTTCTTTATTAATCTACTTTTTAGTATCCCAGCTTTCTTTCAATCTCTCTTTTATCTTTTTCTTTCTTTCTTTCTTTTTTTTCTTTCTTTCTTTCTTTGATATCACCTAGATATTTCTTTATTAATCTACTCTGATGCATCATTTCTTTCTTTCTTTCTTTCTTTCTTTCTTTCTTTCTTTCTTTCTTTAATATCCCTTAGATATTTCTTTATTAATCTACTCTTTTGTATCCCAGCTTTCTTTCTTTCTTTCTTTCTTTCTTTCTTTCTTTCTTTCTTTCTTTCTTTCTTTCTTTCTTTCTTTCTTTCTTTAATATCACCTAGATATTTCTTTATTAATCTACTAACTTTCTTTCCTTTCTTTCTTTCTTTTTCTTTTTTTCTTTCTTTCTTTTTTTTTTTCTTTTTTCTTTCTTTTTTCACCTAGATATTTTTTTTAATCTTTCTTTCATTTCTTTTTTTTTTCTTTCTTTCTTTTCTTTCTTTCTTTTCTTTAATATCCCATAGATATTTCTTTATTAATCTACTTTTTTAGTATCCCAGCTTTTCTTCCTTTCTTTTTTCTTTTTTTCTTTCTTTCTTTCTTTCTTTTTTCTTTTATCCCCTAGATATTTCTTTCTAATCTTTCCCTTTGTATTTTCTTTCTTTCTTTTTTTTTTCTTTTTTTCTTTCTTTCTTTCTTTTTTCTTTCTTTCTTTAATATCACATAGATATTTCTTTATTAATCTACTTTTTAGTATCAATTTCTTTTATTAATTTCTTTATTAATCTACTCTAAGGCATCATTTCTTTCTTTCTTTCTTTCTTTCTTTCTTTCTTTCTTTCTTTAATATCATCTAGATATTTCTTTATTAATCTACTCCGATATATCCCTTCTTTCTTTTCTTTCTTTCTTTCTTTTTTGATTTCATTTTACTAATTATTTTTATTTGTTTTTCTTCCAACTTTCTTTGTTTCTTTCTCATTCTGTTTTGATTTCCTTTTGTTTATTTCTATCTCTAAGAATGTCATTCCTTTCTATGACGTCATTTATCGATATCGCGCCTTTTTCAATGACTTCTCCTCCTCCAAACTTCTTTCTTCAAACACGTTAATCCGTTAACATAATAATATTGTTGCGAAAGTAACCTAACTTAATAACATTAATATTTACTAATATTCCAGCAAATTTAGGAATGAGATTTTCAAGGCGGTATATCAAAATAATCCGCTATTCACCGACTGTAGCACATATGGTTTAAGAATGGAAGACGTGACTATTATAAGATTCCTTGTTTTAAATAGAGTTGATGTTCAAAATTATCACTTTTGGTATTCCGTATAAAAATATCTTCTATCGTAAACATTAAACTTTAATTTACTAAAGTTCAATTGTCTTGATTGTCCGTAAACACATTTGAGATTTTAAAATTTCTGCTCTTTCTGATTTTGGGTATAAATATTCTTTTTTTTTTTTGATTTTCCTCAAAGTTTTACCCTAACTTATGCGCTTCGTCCATGGTATTCTCAGTATCCTTCTGCAGAATCACAATTCTGTTGCTTCCAGTAATCTCTAAATTTGTGAGGAGATTGTTCATTATCCACTGCCATATGGGAGAATCTATATGTCATATCGGTTCAGCACACCTTTCATTGTTTATAACGACATTTTTCGATTTCTTCATACATTGCTTGGAAAGTTGTGAATCTCCAACTCCAGCTATGGGTTAAATAGTAAGACTTCCACATTCACATTATTTCCCAAAAAAGTAATAACTCAATAATATTTCACAAAAATAAAGAAAAATTATTCTTGCTATCCCAAAATTATATTTCGGCTTTAAATAATATAGAAAGGGTTGACAAACCGTAAACATTTATATCAATCAATCAATAGTACTTTTCTTGGCTTTTGGAATGCATCATTTGCTATTTCAATGCACCTTTGTATTTCACTGTTGTATTTTCCATCCGCTGTTAGAACACTTTCCAGAAATGTAAAATTATTTACTTATTTCATGCTGACATATGTAATTCATAGTTAACGGATAGAAATTTGCTCGTGGTGACAACCATATTTTCTATCTTCTTACACTTGATATTTACTCCTTTCCTATCGCTCTCTTTAATTACCTATATTTTTCTTTCTGCTTCTGTGATCAACACGGAAGCATCTGCGTATCTTATATTGTTAAGGTTACGCCCACCAATAATAAATCCTGATTAGATCCACAGTTGCCTTAGGATAGCCTCGCTGTAAATGCTGAATAAATTTCGGTGAGAAGTCACATCATTTTTAATTATTTTAATTAATTGATTTTTTATCCGTATGCAGGCTGATTGTTCCCAATGTAAGATCTTGATTGTTTTAACATAGTTCCCAAATCGATTTATTTTACCTAAAAGTTCAATTAATTCATTGGGCTCGTTGTAGCTCAGCGTACCTCCTGCTCTTCCCTACTATTGTGATAAGGGAATCTCCTACTTATAAATATGGCAAGTACCCACATTAGAGTAGGTTATGAGTACATTATTTACATTATTCGGACTATTGTCCTCATGTTTGTCGCCATATTTCTTACAACGTTTCGGCCGTGGTTGGAATGTCAAACTTAACCCTTTATTTCGCTCACTGGGGTAGACTGTTCTAGTTTCACGTGCCATGTTTTAATGGATGTCAGTTATCAGTTATGTCCTGTTAATTTCCCTCTGAATTCTATTCACTGCCTTAACCAGGTATTGAACTCACACTCTTTTTGTCCTGACACTGGATCTAACCAACGCCTTTATCTTCAAGGACACATGGCACAGCGGATAAAGGTTCGACATTCCAACCACCTGAAGAAGGCCGGAGCGTACAACGGCCGAAACGTTGTAATAAATATGACGACAAAGATGAGGACAATAGTCCGAATAATGTAAATAATGTACATAATACCTCATCTCAGAAATATAGACAGATAATTTATAAGTAGTATTTGATTTACCTAAGCATTTTCTATGTATTTAACAAAACCTCCTCTTCTTTGTTTCCTCTACCTACACCCTTGTGCAAATTAATTGAAACAACCACTTTAGTCTCCTTTCTTTTAACATACGTTCTGTTTTAAACCCACTGGAGTGACTGGGTCTAATCGATTTCTAGTTTTTCTTCAGATTAGTTCATTTGCAGTAGTGTGCAATAATATGAATCTATTTTCGGGGTGTATAATGAAATTTGTTTGGCCTTGAGAAATATCGCATCATCCGTTATTTCATCCTGATTTTTATCACGCCCAGACACTATTGTCTTCACTGTCGATTAATTGTCCTACGGCCATTGTCTGCGATGGGCATTACTCCAAGGAAACTTACAAAAATTATAACGCTTCAGGAAAACACTGGCAAGTCATACCAGTGAGCAAATCAAAGTACTATCGACTGGCTTGGAAACTCTCCTGATTTAAATCCAATTGAGTATCTGTGGTCAACGTGCAAGGAACAACTTCGTAGAATGGACATATGAACACTATCATGTGCACTGAGTTATGTTTCATTGGAAAAATGCGAAAAAAAGTAAATAATAACGGAATTATTCGTTTTGTTTCAATTAATTTGCACAAGGGTTTAGATAGATAGATAGATAGATAGATATGAACAGAAAAGGATAGATAGATAGATAGATAGATAGATAGATAGATAGATAGATAGATAAACGCGAACTTATTTGCGATAGCTAGATATGAACAGACTGATATCTATATCTATATCTATATCTATATATATATATATATATATATATATATGTACACGGACTTATTTGAGACAGATAGATATGAACAGACAAAGATAGATAGATAGATAGATAGATAGATAGATAGATAGATAGATAGATAGATAGGGATTTATTTGAGATAGGTATGAAAAGACAGATATAGATAGATAGATGAATAGATAAACACGGATTTATTTGAGATAGATATGAATAGAGAGGTACCGGGGATAAATACTCACTTGCCTCAGATAATAAGCCAATCTACAAAGATGAATAGATAGATAGATAGATAGATAGATAGATAGATAGATAGATAGATAGATAGATATTGTCCATTTCATAACAATATATATACTAGATTTAACAGCAAAATTGTCCAAGTGTTAGCTTAAGATCAGAACCATTGTATCTTAGAAATGATTAAACATATCTTACTGGAATTCGCCAGGGTTTTTATAACACTACTGGACTCTACTTCGAGTATTAAGAATGTATGATTAGTCTCCAAGCTTATCAGAAAATCGTGATGAAATTGACCATAAACGAAAATAACGTTCATCATCAACTAAACATAGCTAAGCATCAGAAGCACAAGAAGGATTGAAATATAGTTCAAATATATATATATATATATATATATATATATATATATATATATATAAAATAAAAATAAGTAAATAAATAAATAAATAAAATAAGAAACTTCAGGTAAAATAACCGCCATAATAGACTACCCACAATGCACCACTGACCCGTATATGTATAAATAGCCGAGAAAAATAACAGCACACGTGGCCTGACGATTGCATGATTGCATATAGCATCAGACTGTCACCTCTAAGTGTTGACTTCTATGTTCACTTATATTTACACGCTCTATCTCTGATATTGAGCACTTTATCCCATAAATATAGCACACCTGAAGACTATATATATATATATATATATATATATATATATATATATATATATATATATATATAACATCGACTCTCCCGTCGAACTTGATGTATGAGGGTTAAGCAGATCAGTTTCCAGAAACCGGCAGCCCGACACCGGCATATGAGATTTGATTATAGTGGTGAAGGCTTCGTGCAGTGAAGGGACCTGGTGAACTACGTGCCACGACGTACCCAAATGACCCTCTGCAGGTTTTGAATTCAGAGTCGTCCTTCTCCTAGACCAGTTGTCATCCAAGGCTATAGAACCCAGTCTGTCCTGCTATTTTACCCATAGCTGGATGTTGAAGAAGAGGATTCATACTTTTCCCAAGGGTATTAGCACGTAAGTGAAATGTAATGGATTCGACTGGAATTCGAACTCCGCTCTGCGATTCCTCAATCCAAGCCGCTATACATTACTACACCGTGCTTTTTATCCGCTCTATAATATATAAATAATTATGTATATTTATATACACGCACTTTTCACATATATATATATACATACATTATACGTTATTTTTAGTCGATGCTCGTATTTATTATTAATTATTAAACAACATATATATATATATATATATATATATATATATATATATATATATATATATATATATATAATTATATATATATATGTAAACTTGTCAGCTATCAATAACACATAACACCCTTGGAGCGGGTAGAATGGAGATCAAAATCTTTTAGTGTACTCAGCAGTTTTTCAGTTTGCTTGTCTGAATCGTCTTCAAGAAG